AATCCCAAATTCTCCCCCAGTCCTGGTTGTGCCATGAGGTTATTTTTTGGGGGAATTAATGATCTAGGAGTCCTGATCCTTTAATTAACCCCAACCTCATCATTTGCATAACTAACCCCTCCCACCTCTGATCCCACCCCCTTAATTCCCACCCCCAATCCCAAATTCCCCCTCCCCTAATCCCGGTTGTGCCCCGAGGGCCGTGGGGTGATTTTTTGGGGGGTTCCTTGGCCCCAAACCCCCCCCCCTTCCCCTCGGAGCGGGAATTCCATGGGAGAGGCAATTCCAGGAGCCCCAAATTCCCGTTTTTTCCCCTCCCAACAGAGATCAACGACCGGGAGCAGAAGCTCCACGCGCTGAGGGAGGTGCTCAGGAAGTTCCCCCGGGAGAACTACGAGGTCTTCAAATACGTCATCGGGCACCTCAACAAGTGGGTCTGGGGGCACCCCAAAAACTGGGCAGGGCTCTGGGGGCACCCCAAAACCTTGGGGCACCCCAAAAACTGGGCAGGGGCTCTGGGGGAACCCCAAAAACTGGGCAGGGGCTCTGGGAGGACCCCAAAACCTTGGGGAACCCCAAAAACTGGGCAGGGGCTCTGGGAGGACCCCAAAACCTTGGGGAGCCCCAAAAACTGGGCACGGGCTCTGGGGAGACCCCAAAACCTTGGCAGGACTCTGGGAGAACCCCAAAACCTTGGGGAGCCCCAAAAACTGGGCTGGGCTGTGGGGCCACCCCAAGAACTGGGCAGAGGTCTGGGGGGATCCCAAAACCTTGGGGAACCCCAAAAACTGGGCAGGGGCTCTGGGGGGACCCCAAAACCTTGGGGAGCCCCAAAAACTGGAAAGGGCTTTGGAACCTACCCCATTGTCCCCCTGTCCCATTGTCCCCCTGTCCCTGTCCTGTTGTCCCTCTGCCCCCCAGGGTGAGCCACAACCACCGTGTGACCCTGATGACCAGCGAGAACCTGTCCCATTGTCCCCCTGTCCTACTGTCCCTCTGTCCCTGTCCCATTGTCCCCCTGTCCCACTGTCCCTCTGTCCCATTGTCCTCCTGTCCCATTGTCCCCCTGTCCTCACTGTCCCTCTGTCCTCACTGTCCCTCTGTCCCCCCCAGGGTGAGCCACAACCACCGTGTGAACCTGATGACCAGCGAGAACCTGTCCCATTGTCCCCCTGTCCTACTGTCCCTCTGTCCCATTGTCCCCCTGTCCCCCTGTCCTCACTGTCCCTCTGTCCCCCCCCAGGGTGAGCCACAACCACCGTGTGAACCTGATGACCAGCGAGAACCTGTCCATCTGCTTCTGGCCGACGCTGATGCGGCCGGACTTCAGCACGATGGACGCGCTGACGGCCACCAGGACCTACCAGACAATCATCGAACTCTTCATCCAGCAGTGCCCCTTCTTTTTCTACAACCGGCCCCTCCTCGAGCCCCCCGGCGCCGCCTCCTCCTCCTCCTCCGCCCCCGGCGCCCCGGCCTCGCCCTCCTCCTCCTCCTGCTCCGGCCCCTTCCCCTCCCCGGCGCCGCCCTCGCCCCCCCGGACCCCCCCTCCGTCGCCGCAGTCGCCCGTCCAGCCGCCGGAGCCGCCGACGCTCTGAGCACACCCCCCCCGATCCCGAAAAAAACTGGAGCTCACCCCCCCCGGATGCCCCCCCCAGACTTTTTGGCTCGGATTCCCCCCCCATGGGGTGTGACCGGAGGGGCTCGGCCGGGGGGGGAAAGGAAAGGGGTGGGGGGCGGCTCTAGGGGGTGGGGGTACGGCCGGCACGGGCCAAGGGGGGGCCAAGGTTTGGCCAAAGGGGGGCCCAGGATTTGGCCGGGGTGGTCCTGGGTTTGGCCAGTAGGACCTGAGGCTCGTCTGGTGGGAGCGGGGTGGCCCAAGGCTCGTCCAGAGGGACCTGGGGCACGTCCAGTGTGATCCAGAGTGGCCCAAGGCTCGTCCAGAGGGACCTGAGGCACGTCCAGCGTGATCCAGAGTAGCCCAAGCCTTGGCCAGGGTGGTCCAAGGCACTTCCAGAGGGACCTGTGGCACGTCCAGCATGATCCAGTGTCACCCAAGGCTTCTCCAGAGGGACCTGAGGCACATCCAGCATGATCCAGAGTCGCCCAAGGCTTCTCCAGAGTGGTCCAAGGCACTTCCAGAGGGACCTGTGGCACAGCCAGCGTGATCCAATGTGGCCCAAGGCTCATCCAGGGTGGCCCAGGGTTTGGCCAGTAGGACCTGAGGCACGTCCAGCTTGGTCCAGAGTCGCCCAAGGCTCGTCCAGAGGGACCTGTGGCACATCCAGCGTGACCCAGAGTGGCCCAAGGCTTGGCCAGGGTGGTCCAAGGCTCATCCAGAGGGACCTGAGGCAACATCCAGCGTGATCCAGAGTCACCCAAGGCTCATCCAGAGGGACCTGAGGCACATCCAGCGTGATCCAGTGTGGCCCAAGGCACATCCAGCACATCCCAAGGCTCGTCCCAGATGTCCTGAGGCTCCTCCAGGAGATCCCAAC